AAAAACTACAACAGGCTGTATGGCCGATATACAAATAGACTATATGAAGTATGTTTAATTTCTAAGAACTCAAGGTTATATATATCAATACTGTTTTTTAGATCATTAATATTTCACAACTGATGTCAAGACAATGCTTTAATTTTTTAGAATGAAATAGAAACAATGTCATAGGTGACAATATTGTTGAAAGCAGCGGGTTGACTCTGAGTGTCATCATATAAATCATATACAAGATAGAAAATATGAGACAAATGTATTAGAAATAACTATAAAATGTTTAATTATATATATATTACAGAATACAATTATATTGTGTCTTGTTGTTAAGTCTTAATCAATTGTTTGTGGCCACCTCCTCCTACATACACATTCATAGGGCCCATTGTACCAGGTCCCCTGAAATCCTGGCTGCACTAGTTTCCTGTTAGGGGCTGGTGACAGCATAGGGTCAAGTGAGAAGTCACATAACTTGCTTTTATGTTGAGATAACAGTCTAAAGAAGATAAAATGACATATTTTTTGTGTCCTTACTTAAAAAATGACAGACTTTGATATACATACCTTTTGAATTTTGTTTCAATTTTCAATTTCCGCCTAAACTACATGTGTGTTTAAGTGTGAAAAATTCAAAAAATGAAAATAGTATTGATAAAAACTTTGCATAATTGTAACTAATAACTATCTGTGAACATCCTGTCCATATTTGGTGAAATTCTGATTCTGATTCCCAGAGATACATGTGATAAGGCTAGAGCTGTCCCTTTTGGAGAAGCCCTAATTTGACCTGTTTTCGTTTTTTGGTAAGATGCATAAAACATCCAAAAAAAAGTTATTTTGCAGTAAAATATTTTTATACAACAATCCGTTTCATAAACTAGACATGTTCAAGTTATGAAAAAATATGGTCGTGCTTTGTTCTACCTCGGGTAGGGGTCTCTCAACTTTTAGGGGCCCAAGTTCCTCTACTATAAGGGCCTGATTTAACTAAGCTCCCAAGTAAAGAGTACTAAATTGCGTGTTCACTCCAAAAGTTTGCACGTTTGGTTGGTGGGCGTTTTGCGGGTGATCTACTAAGATTTGCGCGAATGACATCAGGTGCAAACCTTGTGGAGGCGGTAATATTTAAGTTAGTTTTTTTGCGTGTTCTACTGGTTTACATCACGGAGCGTTTGGACAGAAAGCAGGATGACTGCAAGCGCAAAATAGGTATTAGTGGGAGGGGCAAATAAACGCACAATACTTTCGAGTTATAGCAGATAAATCTCAATATTACAAAGAATATTTTGGTTATAAGAAAACCTCGGCATTAAACAGGGCCTCTCTTTTCTTCCCTTCATCTTAAGAATGAAGTGTCATACATTGCGCAGGAGGTGTGAGCTGTGTCCTCTTTGGCACGGACGCTCTACACTCGCCGTTGTTGCGCACCGGACAGCTGGCCAGCGCTGTGTCTGATCGGATATAAATGCCCTGGAAAGAGGTATCGAAGACGGGGGTACAAACAGTGGTGAGGTCCCCCAATCCAAGCGTCCTACAGAGTGCTCAGCAGCGGGCTTTAGAGGAAGGAGACGAGCGCATTATGGAGAGGAGCGCACCGGAGGGGGCGAGCTGGGGAGAGACGCGCGACCCGAGAAAAGGAAATATAAAAAAAATATAATGTTGGCGAAAAGAGGGAAATAGGAAGACATAAATGTCAATGTTGAAATTCTATACAATGCAGGCTGTGAATGTTCAGTTTTGTTTGGCTATATGGCAACAATAGCCTGTAGTTTAATCAAGGTGTTCCTCTTCCTTAACGATTAGAATATTGAATCAAATTAAAAAATGAATGCATGCCATTTATTTTTCTGTCATTTGAAAGATGTAAACACTGTGATGTTGCGGCCTTCTTGACCTCTGAATTTCCATGCAAAAATGCATTTTTGTCCTCCTCCTGGTCGTTTTTCTCATCCTCTGCCATTGTCGTTCGGTTGTGTAAAGTGCTCTCGCGCACTGACTTGCAGCGCACCTGCGCACATAATGCCACCTGCTTCTGCATCCGCACAGTGCAACCTGCGTGTAGTGCCGTAAAGTGATCCTACCGGCAATCCTTTGTTTGAGAAAGTAACTGTATTCAGAATACACCAATTTAAACTGTAACTAAAATGGAATACAATTACTCTTATTTTGTATTTTAAATACGTAACGCCGTTACATGTAATCCGTTACTTCCCAACCCTGCCGACACCACATGAATGCAGCATAAAGCATTCAATTATTTTACTTTCATTTCAGGTAAAGGAACATGGCCTCCGCTGGTTTTCTGCTCTTAACGCTCGCTGTCCTCAACAGTATAGGAAGTTCACAGGGTTATGGTAAGATCCTCCGTCGTATCGGAGTTTGAAATATTTGATTCTTCTTGGTATTCATGTGATTCTTTCTTCACAGGCTTTGTGAAAATTCACTGCAAGACTCAAAACATCGGACAGTATGAGCAGGAGTCACGACTTGACTGTGTAATCCACTACTCAAAAGAGGTAGAAGATCCTGAAATCGTGACGGTAATTTGGAAGAAAGAGGGGGTTGAAGAACTACTTAAATACAACCATGGAGAACTTACATCGTTGCCTGGATATTCATTTGCTGAACCGTCCTGGAACAACAAGAACGTGAACGTATCCCTGCTCATTCACAAACCTGCTGTTAAGGACGAGGGAGTTTATACATGTTATGTTCACAAACAGTGGTTTTAACATCAACCAAACCAGACTGAACGTCACAGGTGAGCTCTAAGATAAAACTTTGTCTCAGCTTTTTGGCACACACACACACACACACACACACACACACACACACACACACACACACACACACACACACACACACACACACACACACACATCATTTTGAGGGAATGATTAATCTCTGAAGCAGCCCTGAGAGCTCATTTTTGTCTGTTTGTGTAAACATTTATAAGATTAAAGACAGAAGATGGACTGCAGGAAAGATGTAAAAGTGAGCTAGATGGAATGTAGATTGTGTGGAGAACGGGAGACTTTCCTTCCCCATCAGGCTGGTATTTACCTTCAACAGAGACTGTTCAATGTTTGCTCGGTGTCTTTGCTACTTTCTGTTTCTTTATGACAAATAAGATGTCTGCTGTCATAAAGTACATTTGCTTATCACACATCAAATATCAGTGGTAAAATAATAGTGTGATGATTGATGTCGAGGGTTGAAGTTCAGATTAATAATCATGTTTCATCTCCATGTTCTCCTTCAAGCCAAATACGGAGTGCCAACTATTCAGCCTCAACCTCAGGACATTGATCTCAACACCGACGGTTCCCTGACATGCAAGTCCACCGGCTACCCAAAAGGCCGACTCAGCTGGTTTGATAAAGACAACAAGCCTTGGTTAGAGCAACCCGAGGTGAAGGTGCTGAAGACAAAGAATGGTCTGTTTATCCTCTCAAGCACGCTGAAAATACAGTGAGGATCTGCCTTCTCCAAGTACACCTGCAAAGTGTTCAACGCCAGAGGAGACGAAGAGGCGGAGAAATCTTTCACAGTGCAGAACAAATCATCGGCCGAAGGTATCCGTTGTCGAGCACCACACATGATACTCGTTTCCTTCTTCACACAACAACCGGTACTTTTTGTCAGATTTCTTTTAGCTACAGTCACATGTTATGTCATTCAAAACATTTTTTTGAAGCAACACCGACGTCAATGCCGTTAAGCAATCTGGTCTTCTTTTAGGATCGCTCAACTAAGAGGAACTTGAACCCAGGGGGCCGTCATAGAGGGAGGAACGCCAGGATGATTTATCAGAAGTACAATTCAATTCAATTCAAAAAACTTTATTTGTCCCCTTGGGGCAATTCAAAGGCACACAGAGCAGCAAATTAACAACAGTGCAAGTAAACGAAACATTTTAACCTAAATAGAAAGTGTCAATTTAAATAAAACTTAAAGCTTAAACTTAACTTAAAAACACAAAATATAAAAAAGTAGATATAAGTGGACAGTGATCGGACTAACAGATGTAAACAGAACTATATGCAGTAAACGAGAAATAAATATATATATACAGAACTATGTGCAAGTAGGCAAATACTAAATGATAAGTTATTAAGGTACATGGTGAATAATGGAACAGGGTACGATATGGACATAGAATTGATCTGAGGAAATGATTGAGGCCTAGCAATCAAAATCTTGTAACTGAAGACATGAATGATGGTGACTTGTAGGTTCCCTTTTTTTTAAATTTATTCATTCAGGTAGCCGGCCCGGCCTTATCTCACCCGTCAGCACAAACACTGAACAGTCCAGACTTTGCTGTACTCACTAAAGCTGTTTTCACATATGCACTCCAGATGATATCTAGATAATTGCAGGAGGACCGCTACGGAGATTCTCCCGACCTAGCCGTTCACCAGGCACCAGGGGTGGCCAATCAGATTTCAAGGGGGGGCCCACGCCAACCCTTTTTAGACACGCCCCTGTTTGTAGGCGGCTATAGATGTCGAAGATGGAAACTGTGTGAGTCCGATACAAACTCAAAACACAGAATCAGGCTGCCAGAAGCTGAATAAAGACGTTCCTGAAATACGACATATTTCTATAAATCAAGATGTTAAAGAAGGGTGAATATTCAGCGTTATCAAATCGGATTTGCAGGTGTTTGTTTGTTTCTAGAATATGAAGAACCTGGGTGAACCTTAGGGCTTATTTGGCAGCACCCTTGATTTGAACACTAACTGTTATTTTAATTATGAGAGCTGAGTCCAAAGAGCAAAATATCCCCAGGAGTGTTTTGATTATGCAGGGGAAAAGAAAATCTTGGCAGCTCAGACTGAACTTGTAAACATTAAACCACAAAGAGGCTGAAGCTTCCTTAAAAAACAAGTCGGAGCAACTTTCCTCCCACGTTGCTTCAGTTTTGTTTCCTTCCATCTTGTAAGACATCAATAAGTCTCCAAGTTTGACCCAGTACTTTCTCTAAACCATGGGGGGGTCAAGCTTCTTGATTTCATGAAAGTTTTGATCCATTGTTCATACTCTTTGACGGGAAAACTCATGAACTGGTTCGTTGATATCTGTGCAGTGACCTTAACCGAGCTGTTACAAGTCCCCACATCTGCTGAATGCAGTAAACGGTCACTTATCATCAGCTGATTAATATCTGTTTTGCAGTTGACAGTCGCGCGTTTGCAACACCTAAATCCCCTCCAGTCGTTGTCTTTACTTTCTACTTTGTCTGGGAGGGCAGATCATTAACTCAGACCCCCCCTCCCCTAGAGAGAAAGAGATAGTGGATGTTTGCAGCTAAAAGTATCACAGGGGGAATTTCCCACCACTGCATGACACGCCAACCTGGTTCCAAATATTGTTCTATCTTTATATCCATGTGAAGTATTACATCTGTAACTTTTTATTTTCTTCTATTTTATTTATTCAGGGCATGGACAAGGCGCCGAAGGCACCAATGGCTCCAAAGACTCAAACATGATTTTGGACACCATGATAGTGACTTCTGTGTTTGTCGTCGGGTCTCTGATCGTGGGGTTGCTACTTTAAAAAAGACGATCTCAGTGTGAGTACCATTAAATATATATCTGTATATTCAACATGGCAGCCTGAATTCAAAAACTGACCATTGAAAATGCATTCTTGTTTATTTAACATTTAGCCATCTTAACTTTAAATCTCTTGAAATTCAAAATGGTATTAATATATTGAAACCTATGTCATTTTGCACCAGAGGAGGATGTTGGATGCTGTCCTGCATCCTGGACTTTGCAAATGCATTGTTGTAAGACCTTAAAGGGGACATACTGTTATGAAAAGTCCACTTGTACAGTGTTTTTGAACATATATTTGGGTAACCTGAGTGTCTACTGACCACAAAATGTGAAATAAACCCATCCAGTCCTTTGTTTGTGGTCTGCATAAGTCTTACAACACAGAGAAAAATGCTCTGTTTCAAATGTGCTCTCCTTGCGATGTCACAGTGGGATTCTGGTAAAATATAAATAAAACCCTCCCCTGATATCTCCACACATGGACTCCACCCCCAGACTAAAACAAAACTTTAGCACAGGTTGGCCATTTTTATTCTCTCTACAGAGGAGTGATGACAAGATGAGTCTCGAGAACGTCTTTGTGTTTAAAGTCACGATTTAATCTTCATTCACACTCTAACATTTCATCTGTTTTTCAGAAGATGATCAGGAAACGGAGGGAGATGTTCAAGAAAGTCTGACTACAGGTAAATATAATTCAAACATTTGAGTTGGATTGTCACTATTTAAACGTCAATATAATTCTAGTAAGAATTAGACGACATTAAAAAAAAAAAGTTTCGATACCTAGTCCCAAGTGCACAATTTTGGTTGAATTTCCATTTTTTATTGCCAAAAATGTACAGGCAAACTCCTGCACATTGTCTGAAATTGCACATAATACATTGGCAGCAATGTGTTTGTGCAATTTAGACAGTCACCACTTCTGCTGTCTGTTTGTTAGACATAAAAAATCATTACATCTTCATGACACACGAGTGTGAATTTGAATGAGCCATTGCAGCTTTGTGTTCAAAATATTAGGGCTTCAACACTTGCCACCTGCCAGATTTTTCTCCACAGCCGAGTGAGCTGATGTGAAAACGCAGCAGGATATAATCAGGAGAATTCAGCTCAAGCCAATAGGAGGGGGGGAGTGACGTTTATATACTGTGACTGCTGCACCGTGCATATAGATTTTCAGGCAGATGTGAAAACAGCTTGTGACTGAAGGTCTTTAGTTTTTATTAAAGCTTCAATACTTTTTGATACAATGCATCATTAAGGATTCTCAGATTGTCTTATTTTAAAACAAGTGGCATCAAAAACTGTTGCAAATTCAAACAACCAAACAAGGTAATAAGTTTGTTACTAACCCTCCCTTTTCCTTTCTTTTTCTCTTCATCTCTCTGTGCAGGAGAAACCAAGACCACTCTTACTGACGACCACTGAAATCAACACTTCTTGTTTGCTTGAGCCCGCATCAGCATTTTAACTTTTCCTAATGCAAACATCCATGTACATAACCAGGTAAAGCTTGTATCACTGTGATTTAACAGAAACTGCAAGCGCTTTGTTCACCCTTAATCTACCAAGTAAACAAGCTCCAATCAAGTTTAAAATGTCAACAAAGACTGATATATCGCTGACAACAGGAGTAAAAGGGGTCCAGGTCAGGCTCTGTTGTCTTAAAGTAACCACATTGGGAACCGTTCCGACACCACGGAGTCTCTGATGTTGATTTATGGAGGACAAAAGTGTATAATGTGATGATTTAGCCCACGCAATAACTGTAGCTTTTGGCAGCTTATCAGCCTCCTTCTTACTCCCTCTTCACGTTCCATGTCTTTAGTGAAGGGTTAGAATCATGCAATACTTTTAATTCGTGTTTGTGTGTGTGTGTGTGTGTGTGTGTGTATGTATTTTAAGGAAATGCAACTATTTCCTGCCAACGTTTCTTTTATTCATATATGTTGTGCTAGGAGGGGTTAGAGGCATAAAAACAGGCGTGCTTGCTGTTGCCATGGTGCTTTCAGACACTCTCTGCCAGTCTGCGCAGGCGCAATCAGGAGAACAAAAAAGTTTGGGAATTTCATTCACTGTGTGAGAGTATGTAGTCATAAGACAAACATTTCAGGAATGCCAGACATCCATCAAACTGGTCGGAGGCAACAGAGCAGGCTGTGATAGGCCCTTTTTTTGAGGTTTGGTTTATTTAACTTTTTTCACAACCGAGTTCTCAGAGAAACCGCCTCGCATGCCTTTAAAATCTTGAATTCTGATCGAGCCTGCATGTCAAGCTCGAGCCTGTCAGACCAAATATTCTCTACTGTACTGAAGACAAGCCAAAAGTGGAAAACAAAACTCCTAATCAATCATATATGTGAATGATTAACTGTTCTGTAACACACAGTTAATCATTGACCTGTTGGAGAAAAAGCAGTTTATGAAGTTTATGAGTTTATGAAATCAACGATGAAGTGTCTGATGTAACAGGACAGAGATAATATAAGTTTACAATGGGTGCGTCTGGAGATAGTATCTGAAGGAGATTTAGGAGTCCCCTTAGGTGGAATGTTTAAATTGAGGTGTTGTATAGGAGTATTGCCATATATGGTTGTGTAACTGATGTTTTTATGACCATGACGGAAAGCAGATGTTTAGATGCATAAGCAATTGTCTCTGTGTGTTCGACAGAGATCATTATTGGCTTCTTGATCTCCTGGTCAGACGTGACCAGTGATTCTGTTTCTTGCTTAAATAAAATTATACTCTTTGAAAGCAAGTCAGTCTCAACGGCGAATTTCTTCATCATCAAACAATCAACACAAGGAAATCCACATCAATTTTGGCGTCACGAACAGGATCAGTTGGGGCCTTTTCAGTGGACCACAGCTTGTTCATTATTTCCAACACTTCGTAAGTGTTTCTTTCTTTTTTTGCTGCACATATTGTGAGCTTTCTGTCGTCTATCGGCAATTTTGGCTGTTGATTGGGAGGATACTGTGCTGATTTCTGTGTGCGTAGACTCTGTGCACAGGGGTGGAGCAGTGATCTTAGAAGTGTGTGTGTTCTGTGCTAGTATATTACCACCCTCTAGGAAATCAACACATTCTGTTTCATTTAATGTCCAATAACTAAGTTTAGCTGAAACATCATATAACAAGACAAAGTTACAAAGATAATTAGACACTAACTTTATGAACATCCATTGTGAGTAACCGAGTTAGCTCTAGAAATCAGATTCAAAACGGTTCTTTGTGATGCCATTATTTTGCTTTTCTTATTGCCTTACGCCTCAGTCTCTTTATTTCCGGTCTTCACATAAAATGTGCTTTTATTAGAAAAACTGCAAAGGGACTTCTGCTACATCGTAAAGTTTGGAGTAAATACATACAGCTAAAAATAACAACCAAGAGGAGAAAATGTTACACTTACGTTGTTTGTGAGGTGGATTTATCTTAAAAACTCTGTTTGGGTGACTCACTCTCTTCAGAAGGATGCTACATGCAGCATGTTTCCATGTGTGAGCTCTGAGCTCTGACTCAGTGATGAGTGACAGGAGGATTAAATGCAAATGTAACCTTACTGTGCTCAACTGTAATCAAATAGATATGATTGCTTAGTTGTCACTTAATAAATCTTACTTGACCGATAAGTTTCTTTTAATGACTCCACTAGTAAAAAGTGTACATTTTAGTGAAAGTAGGGGTGTCACAGCACCCACAACACCCACGTGTGAGATGCGCTTGTCTGTGCATTAAATGCACTAGGTTTGGACCATAGGGTTTGGAGACGATGTTAACCCTTTGACAGCCAGGTTAGACTGGAAGCCCTTGCTAAAATTAGGAGGCGGGTCAAGAGGCGTTGCCTCACATAGAAAGCCAATTAGCTTACTCCTCCGGTTAAGGGAGTGAGAGGTAGCCCCTCTCCTCCTTCTTCTCTCTGTGGGACACAGAGGGAAGGAAACACACCCCCAGTAGGGAGACAGCCTTGCAATAGATAAAATATATATATATAGATAAAGATTACAGATAATGTGTGCATATTTCACTGAATTGTTATTGCATTGTCTATATGGATTCAGAGTGATTAACTTTTGTTTTGTTTTCTTCTGTTTTCTCTGTTTCTCTCTACTATGCTGTGTGAGAGCTAAGGGAAGACAGACAGATGGATTGTGTCTGAACTGGATCAGTCAAAAAGGCAGATGAGGAATATCTGGCAGTACTTCACAAACACTGGAAGCTTGCGGATGACAGCATGTAGGGATCCTGAATCCAGCTTGATCAAGGCCAGTGCGGTTTATCCACGAACTCTTTCAACAAACACCTGAACTTTTCTATCTGTGTATACACATTTTTTATAGTCAACATCTTTGATACATGCTTAGTCTGTTTTCGCATAGAGGCTTACATTGTTTCTTCTATGTATCACATTACAATAATATTAGGAGAAGTCTTGGCAACAGACTGACTAATTGAAGCATTTGGTCAATAATGGAGTATTTTTGATTTGATTGATCATTTATGGAAAGTTGATTTGATTCAATGCAGTTGAGTGCTGTGAATGCTGGTTTCATTGTCTGAGTATGGTCTAGCTTGACCTGGGCTATTTTGAGATGGAACATTGACATTATTTCCATAATTTTAAGATAAATAAGTGTGATTAGATGCATTAGGTGATAAAGAAGTGCTTTTGCTTTTATAGTAAGAAGGCTTTGGTCTCCTTTGGGGTTGGCAAATTCATTCATTCAAGTGTGGTAACAGTACTTTCTAAATAGTTTGACTTACAATACGAGGAACTAAGAGGGTATTGTAATGTCAAAGAATGGACACCGAAATTACAAAATCAATCACTTCTGTTGATGTAGTACAGAAGACTAATCCTCTTGTTAAAGATATTCCAAAAATATCAGAAAAATAGAGTAA